GATGTGCTCCATTATCAGAGGATGGATGACATGAGCTAGCCAGGGTGCATGTGGGGGGGAAGGGTGTCAGAGGTGAGAAAAGACAGAGAGCAGATACACAGGGAAGGAATGTCTGAGCAAATGGCCCACAGACACATTCTCATATGTGCTGAAGTGATCTACACACCATGAAAGAAGCACCACTGTTTGGTGACATAGTACAAGAATCTTCAGATGAAAACATTTTCAAATATGTTCATTGTTTTGAAAGTTATCATTTCTGGATAATTTACTTTCTTCCTTTCTGTAAAATGATTCCCCAAATGAACAGGAGGTCAGAGCAAGTTTTGGGTGCCAAGTAGATTGGGAGGACAGGTTAGATCATCAGTGATGGTTCCGCATGCTGCCTGTCCTCCTGTCTCCTTCTGTATCTTACATCTCCTTTCTCTTTGATTAAGTCCAGCTTAATCCACAGTAATTCCCTCATACGGGGAAATTAATTGGCTGAAATAGGTAAGAATTCCATGGCTAATTCTTTGGACAAATAGTGCTGGAAGCCATGCCTGGGGTCGTGGCCCCTGCTGACAGTGACGCTAGAGGGGTCAAAGGGCAGAATTAGGTGTAGTCAGAGCGGTCTGTAAGAGAGACACCTGAATGTAGACCTGTCATCACGATGTACCATGCATTTCTTGGGCCTTGTGTGTGTGTGAGCGAGTGAGATCTGAATTCGAACCTCTGTATGTGTCTCGGTGGGTGAGGGTGAGGATAACGTTTATATTACATTGTAGGCACAATGTTTCAGGTCCCCACAAAGATCTGTGAATGCAATCAAAAAAGTAAAAATGCCAAAGGGTCTCGTATTTTGTTTGGTTACTTACGGTTAAGGTTTGGGCTGGGTAGGGGCTAAGGTCCTCGTGTTGGGATTACAGACTTCCCCATAGAAATGAATGGAGAGTCCCCACAAAGATATAATTACAAACCTGTGTGTGTGTGAGAGAGAGAGGGAGAGAGAGAGAGAGAGAGAGAGAGAGAGAGAGAGAGAGAGAGAGAGAGAGAGAGAGAGAGAGAGAGAGAGAGAGAGAGAGAGAGAGGGAGAGAGAGAGAGAGAGAGAGAGAGAGAGAGAGAGAGAGGGCACTGCTTAATCCCTTCCCCCGTGCTCTAGAAATGCTTTTCATCTGACGTCACTCCTGTTCTTCGGCCCCTGACCCACCACCTGAGCCTGTCTTAGAGGGTTACACAGTGTAGAAAGTGGGGTCATGCATCTCTTTAATTTCCCTCAATTTATCTTTTTTTTCGTTGATCCACACATGTGTTTCAGCATACCAGAGATTAGGCTTTATTTTTCTGATGTTACCTGTTTACTGCCATTGAAGGCATTTTAGGAGGGAAATGAGGAATCCCATTCAGGGATGTGGTTTTATATCATGGTGTGTATCATGTGTTTAAGCTGCTTACTAGCCTTCCCATACAATATTGTTGCTGTGGAACACGTGCTTTTTAAATATCCTAAAAATTAAGAACCAATAATTTTCTCTTATAAATTTTTTTTTTAGTTCTGTTTTATGATTTGATGTGCTCAGGGTTGGCTAGGTGGTCGTGTCAGGATGAAGAATTTAGACGACATAAAGGGGGAGATTTAGAACCAAGAGAGGAGGCTTCATAGGAGCTACGCTGGGGAGATGCACACAGGCAGCTTACCGTGGAGTGGCAGAGGAAGCCGAACACCACCATGACGATGGCAGGCGTGAGGATGAGGCCGAACACCAGACCAGCCAATCCGGCGTTGATAGCAGCAATGACCAAGTTCTGTGCAGTCACCAGCACTGAGCAGGCCCAGCAGTCTAGCGCCCCCCGCAGCTCTAGAGGGGCATCCCCTCCGCTTTCTGCAGCCGAGTACGGAGGCGGCACCACCACCCCCGATACCCCTGCTTGGTTCCCTGTGGGGGCTGTGGAGGCCACGGAGTTGGAATTATGGAGGTGGGTGTGCTGCGAGTGGGAGTCCTCCCCCAGGTCCATCCCCTGCTGGGGGGCCGCGTGTTTGTCCAGGGTGCCGCTCAAACTCATGCTGCTCTCTGGAAAAGGGAGGGATGATTATCAACCTTTCATCTGGCCATAAATTTCACGCTAATTCTGCAAAGGATGATAAATTACGAATTGTGTCAAAAGGTACCAACTCCGACAGTATATCGGGATTTTTTTTCTATAGCCTGTGGAATGTGATGTAGCACATCAAGGATGTGATCTTTGGAACTAAAGTTCAAAATATCCTAAGGAAATTCCTGAAACTGGATTGCTTTAACAAATGATCCAAGTGTAGGTGTGTAGATGCTATAGAAGGTTGTCATGAGGGACAGGAGCGTTTGACTTGAGTGGTTTGTGAAGGAGTCTATTAATGGAAACAGTACATCTGGAATCAGCAGGAAGCTGACCCGGGAGGACCAGTGTCTCCTGCAGCGGCCGCATGCCCCGAAGAACAATGGGCTGAGCTCACAGGTCGGCAAGGTCGGCATCCTGTGCTGCTACACGCTCCCACGCCACGGCGCCCAGGCCCGGGCCACGGCCGACACCGGCACGCAGGCTGCCTTCCTGAGGTACCGGGAGTGACGCCGCGCCTGTTATTGCCGGACTGCTGGGAAAGGAAAGCGAGGCACCCCCAGGACGAGCTCCGGGGGCGGAGGGGCATCCATCATGTTGCCGTCTATGGACCCCTCAGAAACACAGAGCTGGGATATTCCTGGTATTCCTGACTCTGGAGCCCATGGCCTCCTGAGTTTTAAATGTCTATCTGTTTTCTGTGTTTCCTGCAGTGACCAGACCTAGCGTTAGCTGGCTGGCATTTCCGTACGTTGGCGCTCTGGCGTACGTGTGTTCGTGCGTGTTTACGGCAGGATACAGACGTTTAAATGCGTGTACGCGTGATTCCCAGTGGCTCCCTAAACCAGCCTGTCTGCTGTCACTCACCGGCTAGTCGTCTCCCGTTCTGGTCCTCCTCGCTGTGTCTTCCTCACCCTGCCGCTCCTCTTCCTCAGTAGTGGGACAGCAGGCTGGCACCCCTGACGCTCGCTCTCCGCGCTGCTCTGCTCCTCTCCGGCCCTGAAGCCCCCGCAGCTCTGGCCGCCCCAGCCTTGGCTGAGGCCTTCTCTGTGGCTGCAGCAGGGAGCTGATCGCTGTGATGGTGCCCCCCTCCCCAGTGGGCTGCTCTCCTGCTGGAAGTCGGCCTTATCTTTACGCCGCCACTCGCTCCTGAATGCCTGCAGTAAGCTCCCCCAGCTGTGGGCCCTGGGGTGTGTCCTCTAGCTGAGCAGCCTCCTGGTCTCCAGTGAATCCCCCTGTGCCTTTGCATCAGGTATTTGTAGCTGGGCTGCCCCCAAACCCCCCCCCCTCTCTCTCTCTCGCTCGCTCTATCTCCCTCACTCTCTCTCTCCCCTCCCCTTGCCCTCCTTCTTCCGCTGGGGGTGTATTGCCTGCGTTTGCTCCTTCTCTGGATGGGCTTTTAGGGGAGGGCGTCTGATAACCTGGGGACTTGGGTGGACCAAGGTCAGTGTTTATTTAAGGAGATTGAGGGTTGCATTTAATTACTGCCTTTGGGGGGGGGGGGTGACAGCCGCTTCAGTAACTTTGTCCCCTTATTTAAAGCCGTGTGAAGGGCCTTCATTTGGCTGTTTCTCTGGGAATCATTCATTTGACACTTTCTGCTTTTTCGTTCTTTGAGTTTCTTCTACGTTGCTTTGATTTCTGTTGATATTCTTTAAAAAAATATATTGCTAGATTTCAAGTTATTTTCTTGTTGAGAAACCAAATAAAGTGATTCTTGGGTGACTGGCAGCTACTTCACAAACAGTTTTTTAGAACTTTACGAAAAAGGTAGATTTTAAAACCATGACAAAGAATAAATTTTGAAGATTTAACTTGAACCAGATTTTAGTTACATCCATCCATCCATCCATCAATTCACCCATCCATCCATCCATTCTCTATTGCAGCTTGTCCTGTTCAGGGTTGCAGAGGGTCTGGAGCCTATGCAGGAGGCTATGGGTGCAAGTCAGGGAACAGCCCAAGACAGAGCACCAGCCAATCACAGGGCTTTAGGTCTTTAACTCCACGATCCTGTACTGCGTTTGTATGACAGAAGCAGAATGACGTTTCCCAAGGTCCAAGTGCTGTACAGGACCATATAATTTAAATTACACATTAGACATACAGACTAACAAGGATATGGTATCGGAATAATGTTACACACAAAGAATATACCTAAATATGTCCAATATTTTCTTATGCAAAATGTGATTATTAAATTTAAAATTGTCTAAATTGTCTAAAACTTCATGCATCACGTTTTCCCCCATTGTGACTGGGAGAGGTGCATGCTGAGAACTTCTTGGCTGGCCCATCGCAGCCCTCTGTCCTGAATCACTGTCTGATTCATGCTAACTGCTCTGTGGGGGGGGGGGGCTCATCGCATGAGAGCGGGAAAAACAAACAGGAGGGATAGTGGAAGGGGGAGACAAGGGCCTTTCGTGATGAAAAGCATAATGGCGGGGGCAGGATTACAGAGATAGAGTGCAGCGGAAATAAAGGGGGGGGGGGGGTGATAAGGGACTGGTCAGGGGTTCAGATCGCAGACGGCTAATTACTTTGATGTTTTCCTATTACCTACAGGAGATAATGGTCTTTATTTACTTAGACCCCCATGGATAGGAGTCAGTTATCAGACATCACTCTGATCTGGGGCTTCAGGGGTTTGGGGTTAGATAGTCACATTGGGGGGTATGGGGGGGGGGGGGGGAATAGGAGGGACAGAGTACCCCTACCCAGTGTCAGAGACATGCCATCCTTTAAAGTCCCTGTAGATCAAGCTGTGATTCTGTGTTCAGGGTTGCCACATGGTCACACGTCAGTGCCGGGGGCAGCAGGGCCGCGGCCTGGCAGGAGGGAGGGGGGGCACAGGCTGGCAAAGCGCGGGGAAAGCAGACAGCATGGCCCTGTCACACAGCGCCGCATCACAGCACATTACAGTTTCTGTGCCCAGGTCATATAACTCTATAAGGGCAGAAACCTACTTCAACTGCCTTTAACACAGGGCTGCCAACTCTCACCCATCTGCCGTGACACTCATGCTTTCAGCCTCTCACACTCACACAAGAAATCTTATGGGAAATCTATATTTTTCTATTATAAACCTAAAATTAACTACATCAAAGGCGTTGGTGTCGCTTATATACAAAGTGTTATAAAAACTGGTCCACTCCTCTCCTCCCCTGGCGAGCTCACAAGTTCTCAGAGTTGACAATGACATCCACACCTGATTTAACCAAGATGGAATCGCCAAGAGTGACTGAACTAACCAAAGACTGATGACCGGCAAACAGGATCCAAGACGGAATGCAGAATCCGGAGAGCAAGCTGAACTCAGTCGAGCAATCAAGCAAGTCCAAACCACCCAAGCAAAGCAAACAAGCAAAGCAAGTCATCAGAAGCAGATTCAGAAAATCCTGGTCAAGAGAAGTGACCGCCAAGCCTGAGAGGGGCAAAGCAAACCGCAAGGTGGGGGAACACGCTGATTGCAGGGCTGGCTGATGATTAAATACGGGAATCATACAGAGGTGGGTGTGGATGTGGGCAACGACCACACCGGCAGTAGATAATGAGCTGGGTTCTGGCAGAAATGTGACACTTTCATTGCATACACTCCTAACATTGTAATACAGTAACTGTTGCATTTATGAGTGTGAGATTAGTTTTATCCCAGTGAAAATTTAACAATAGCTCTCGTTAACATAAAGATGAGTCTTGACCTGGATCCAGTACCAGCATAAACACTGGGAGTTCATGAACAGAGCTGGGAAAATGACACTGTAAGAAATGCAGACAGGAACAGACATCCTGCTTGAGGCTTTACCCTCTTTGCTGTGGTTTTCTACCTTTATTCTGCATTCAGTTCAGCCTTCTTACGTCGCTCAGTGTCGTTGACTTTGCCTGCCTGACTCACTTCTCAGCTCGGTCCACTCCTCTGTTTACTCTTCTGTTGCTTGGTTTGTTGTCAGACATGCTTATTCACACACAAATGACACTTGTGGATTATTCCACATTTTGGATTTCGGATCTGCCTCAGTTTGAGCATTTTATTGCCATTTCTTTAATTGCTTCTTTCTCTTGCCCATAATGGTTTATTTCGCCGTATGGGTTTCTCTCGTTAAGGATTCATCCGCATGCTTCAGAAGGCTTTCCTTTGTTTGATGGCCCCATGACTTGTGCCCCTAACGCCTCATTGTATCTGTAAGCTATGGCTCCAGGGTCACTATTGGATGTGTCTCCTAACCAATTAGTATGTTTCACATGGTGAACAAATAGGAATTATAATGTAATGGCTTGTTAAATCGCTTCCACTGCCAATGAAAATCTGAAATTGGATGGCCTACATTTAAAATTATTGCTTGATGACAATGAAGCCTGAGGCACCGTGGTGGTTCAGTGGTTAACACTGTTGCCTCACACCTCTAGGACCAGGGATCGAGTCTCTGCAATGGCGCTCCATGTAGGTGGAGTTTGCATGTTCTCCCTGGGGTGTCCTCCAGGTCCTCCAGTCTCCTTCACAGTCCAAAGATGTGCTGATGATACCTGGAGCTACCAATTTGCCTGTAGATATGCATTCATGTGTGTGGTGTGTGAATGTGTCCTGTGATGGATTGGCGGGTTCAGCCACCCACACACCCCATCCTTCCTTCCTTATGCCTATAGGTTCCGGACCCCCTGTGACGCTAAATAGGACACATAGTTACAGAAAATGGAGGGATGGACAATGAGCCTATTAACAGAAGCATTCAGTAATGGGGACCCACTCTTTTAGGCCTCATGTCATGTACTATGCACTGTATGATGCCACATGAACACTTGCATACATGTTTCTAATGTGCCCACAGTGTGAGAGTGTGTCCCCTGCCATGTGTCTCACCCCCACAGCCCCGCGGCGCCCACGATCGGCCTCGGGCCTCACCCCCACAGCCCCGCGCCGCCCCCGATCGGCCTCGGGCCTCACCCCCACAGCCCCGCGCCGCCCCCGATCGGCCTCGGGCCTCACCCCCACAGCCCCGTACTGCCCCCGATCGGCCTCGGGCCTCACGCCCACAGCCCCGCGCTGCCAGGCTTTGGTCAAAATCTTTGACAGATTGGTTCTGAGCTGCCTTACTGTGAAGCCCTCGGCTCCTAGGAACAGTTGTTCTGATTTTGTGAAGACACTGTGATGACCGACAATGTCACCCCCTCCCCCTCCCCTTCCTGTGTGCTTTAAGATTAGTTGCTTCTCTGGCTCTATTGTCAATTTGTTGGTCATCCCCAGTCTGCTGTTTTCAGAGATATCACTGAAACTCATTCACACTCAGGAAACACTTTGCTAAGCTCCTTCCTGTCTGTAGAAATGTTGTATGAGAACCTGATTTTACTTTGACTGATCATTTTATATATGAAATGCAAAAGTGTGCAAAAGTCTTAGGCTGTCCAAAGAAATGTTAAGCTGTTTATCTGGGTAGCAAGTGTACTTTGGCTTGGAACAAAAGACACAATTTAACATTAGAACATGTGCAAAGTAAGGGTAACACAATAAAAACTAGTAATAATTTCTTCTGTTTTCTAAAACGTTACTGATATCTAGTTGGATGGCTAGATGAACACCGCTTCAGTTCCCAAACCTCTCCTCAGGGGCACCTCAGCTGTTCCATGATTTTGTTAATTTCACCAACAGCTCAGTTAAATAATTAAATCAATTGGTTTAAAAATTCAGTGACAGATTGACTAGTTGTATGAGGTGTGTTAGTGGCCAAGTCAAAAAATACATGGCTGCACTGGACGGTCGCTGCAAATACTGGGGTGATTTTAGCAGAAGTTCTGAAATGGCTAAGCTGACACACTTTGACAGGAATAATATCATAGTTTTACACCAACATGAGGATAATCTAAACATCATTTTCTTTGCCTGCCTAAGACTTTTGCACAGTACTGTATGTGTGTGTGTATGTGTGTGTGTATGTGTGTGTGTGTGTGTGTATATATATATATATATATATATATATATATATATATATATATATATATATATATATATATATAAAAGCTGGAATTGTTGTGCCTCAAACTGTCTTGCACATTTCACATTTATAAATGCTAACTGACATGGCTGCATGGCCTGTTAGTGTGACCAGGTGTTCCTCCTCTGCGAGACATTAGGAGGACATTGAGGGACAAGGTCTCTCAATTCACCTGTAATCAAGTGTAACTGTATAATTAAATAAAGTTACTTTGTGCATTACATGGTAATCAG